GGTGTTGCATGTATCAGTCCAAAAGAAGTTAAATAAAAAGCGCCCATCCATAAAAGAAGTGTCTCACACGGCTCCGGGGGGTGAACAAAGGCTTCCTGTAGCGAATCTCATACGTCATCCGCCCAGAGCTGCTTCTGTGTACAACTGTTGGCGCAAGCTACATTAAAGTGATTATTACGTTTTGAATATGGATATTTTTCTTACAAAAACGCATCGATTCGCTACAGAAGGCCTTTGTTCACCTCCCGGAGCCGTGTGAGACATTTTTTTATGGATGGGCACTTTTTATTTAACTTCTTTTGGACTGATGCATGCAACACCCGCTGAGTGCCATTAAACAGCTTGAAAGATCAAAGACAATTTTTTATATAACTCCGACTGGATTCGTCTGAAAGAAGAAAGTCATATACACCTAGGATGCCTTGATGGTGAGTAATTTATGGGCTAATTTTCATTTTTGGGTGAACTAACCCTTTAAACCTGAATACACACAGGCTCATGGGGACTCGTGTCACGGTGGGGACCTAAATTGAGGTCCCACGGGTAAAAAAGCTAATAAATCTCACAGAATGAAGTTTTTTGGAAATCTAAAAATGCAGAAAGTTTCCTGTAAGGGGTAGGTTTAGGTGTAGGGTTAGTGTAGGGCGATAGAAAATACAGTTTGTAAGAAAGAAAAAGCATTACGGCTATGGAGAGTCCCCACAAGGATAGCAAACCAGACGTGTGTGTGTGTGTGTGTGTGTGTGTGTGTGTGTGAGAGTGTGTGTGTGTGTGTGTGTGTGTGAGAGAGAGAGTGAGTGTGTGTGTGTGTTCATTCGAGGTCACTGACTGTGTTTGTGTGTGTGTCTGTGCAGAGCGCCGGCTGTGATGATCTCCTGGGCTCTGGTAGGGTTCCTGATAAATGCGGCGTGTGCGGCGGAGACAACAGTGCGTGTAAGCTCGTCTCTGGCCTGTTCCAGCACAGTCTGTCTAAAGTGGGCTATCACAAGATCGTGGAGATCCCGCCGGGAGCCACCAAGATCAACGTCACTGAGATGGTGAAGAGCAGGAACTACCTGGGTGAGTAAAGAGCCGTTCACAGCAGGAACCATAACTATAATAATAACTATAACCATAGGCGCCGATTTCTTTTTCCACTGGTGGGTGCTCAGCACACCGACAACCCCAGTTCTTCAGTTACAAATTATAAATTCAGTTATAAATTCACATGAAACATACTGACATCTTCAACAGGCAGCCTAATAAAAATATTCTGAACGCTCAGCATGTTCACCTACGGTTTGGTTAGAAACATACACCTTTTCATTTTTTACATTCATCTCATGAACAAATAATGACTTAAACGTAATATTCTCACTTAACAATTAGCTCAAATAGAACAAATAATTATATTGCTCCAGATTCTCAAAACGGACACAAGACACAAGTTACAAACACAGACACAACCTAGACACAAAAAAATCGTATAAAACATATTGACAGCTTCTAAGAAAAAATATTATGTATACTAAGCTTTAAATTACGACTGGCTAGAAACGCATTCTTTTTTTAAATTCAGCTCTACATGAATAATAACTTAAAACATTTTGACATTCTTACTTAACGATTAGTTAAAATCCAATGAATAATTCAAATTTCTCCCGATCTTCAGTTACAAAAATGGAGCTTAATCACAAGAAATTAATATAAAGCATATCGACAGCTTCTATAAGAAATATTATGCACACACACTAAGCTATAACTTTTTAAAATTAACTGTAACAATAACTATAACTACAACAATGACTACTATGATAACTATTTCAATAACTATAACGGTTACTATAATGATAGCTATAATAATAACTGTAATGGAAACTATAGTGATAAATATAACAATAACTATAATAACTTTAATGATAACTGTACTGCGTACTAAAGTGATAACTATAACGATAAATACTATAGTAACTATAACTATAGCAATAACTACAACTATACGACAACAATAATAATAACTATACTACTTTCTAAAGCATTAACTATAACTATAACAATAACTATAATGATAAATGTAGTGAAAAATATAGTGATAACTATAACGATTACTATAACAATTACTATAATGATAACTATAAATATAGCGATAACTATAACGATGATTATATTGATAACTATAGCAATTACTGTAATGATAAATCTACTTACTATAAAATAAAGAACAATAATTATAATGATAACTATAACAATAACTGTAATGATAAAAATAACTATAACAATAAAATTTTCAATTACTTTTTCAATAACTATAACGATAACGATAGCAATTAATATAACTGTAATGATAACAAATAACTATAGCAGTAACTATAACTATAACAATAAATATAGTGATAACTATATTAGCATCCAGACCAAGAATGATAATGTTAACAATAACTGTAACAGTAACTATAATATAACAACGGACAGTAACTTTCTGTTTATTCAACGCACAAGCTGCAGTTTTATCACCTGCTGCAGTCTGCTGGATTCTGATTGGCTGTTGTTGTTTTTGTTGATCAGCTGGGAAAACAATGTGATTCTTCTGTCGTTGGAATGTGTAATTATGAAAACATTATTGTTATAGTAATCATTCTTGGTATGAACAGCTCCTCATAACCAACCTTCATCACACCTTCACGTTTTCAGTTGTGTCACATTGCACTGATTGGCTCCGCCCATGACTGCAGTATAATAAATGTTACGCACAGTGTTGGGGAAAGTTACTTTTAAAAGTAATGCATTACAATGTTGCGTTACTCCATAAAAAAGTAACTAATTACAATACTTAGTTACTTTTTATGGAAAGTAATGCGTTGCGTTACTGTTGCGTTACTTTTTAAATCTGGACAGGGCTTGCTTGTTTGTTTTTAAAATAAAAAAGTTCTATTTTTGGCAAATACTGTATAAAAGCCTTTTCACACCAAAAGTGAAATGAATAAGCCTCAGGCTGAAGGGAAAGTACATTTA